CATAGATTTCAGATTAGGGGAGCAAATATTCCTTCTTCTTATGATTAACTAGCTTGTATCTCATTCTGTGTGTTCCTTTTTCAGTTTTTTTTCCACTTCCCTAGGATAGATGATAAAGGCCATTAGGCTATATAATTTACAGTAATGTTTTGAAATAAATGATTGATATTTAGAAAACCTTTGTAAACTTGGGAAGATAAGTTCAAAGAACAGCTATTTGATACTTAAATGCTTGAATCTTATTGTTTATTAATACTTAAATTTAATGGGTTTTAATCATTAAAATTATACATGTTTATTGTAGGAAATATAGTAAATAGGAAATACTTTAAAATGAATATAGATGAAGGGTATTCATCTCAGACATTTTAAGAATATACAGGAAGGATAAACTATCACCCATTGCCATACAACTCAAAGTCTACTAACATTTTGGAGTTGGTTGTTTGTTTCTTCTCCTATCTTTTTATCTAGTTATTTTTTTCCCCCAGGGTTGTGTTTGTAAGTTTACTTAGGTCAGGAATCCTGGCCTCAGGCAGTATTCTTTATTATGGCAACATCATATCTCACTGTAAACTTATAGTTTCTCTATTTGTTTTCCCTTTTCTGGGCAAGTAGATTAAACACAATGTTTGGTATGTAAATGATGTTATAGTGTACTTCTTCATGCATATGACTTCTGGGCTTGAATCTTGATATATGTTGTCAGGTTCATTTCCAAAAACTTAACAGTTTATGGTCAGTTTACAGGACTGAAGTTCAGTAAGCCAAGCATCACTTTCCCCCTCTCCCAGTAAGACTACCTGCCTTTTTTAGTTCACTTCATTTGATGGTATGCTTGGGCTAGAGGGGCCCAATCAGACTTCTTCCCTTGAGTTTTCATATACAGAGGCCAATCAGACTTCCTCTCTTGAGTTTTCACATACTGAGGCCAATCAAACTTCTTCCCTTTCATTTACAGAGTTGAGACATTCTGTCCTTTGGGGATTCTAAGCTGTATTGATATAACTTGGAGCTGTCTGCTGCCAGGATTCATGACTTATGAAAAAACATCTGCAACTGGGGAAAAGGAGGGCACTACAAAGAGAAGCTGAGATGAGACACTGTGGGTTGAGGTGGAAGGTGTGAGAGGGGAAAGAGAGAGGTTAGAGGATAAAAGGAGAGAAGAGAGCAGAGAAGGGAATGGGAAGTAAGTTGAAGAATAGAGGAGAGAGGAGAGAGTTGAGTTTCTCATTTTAGTAATTCCTGAGGTTAATTGTGTCCATATCATGTCCAATTACATGAGCCAATTAGTTCTTTTGTATGATTCAGTGAGTTTGAATGAGTTTTCTGTGGCTTCCCCCCCCCCCAAAGGAATTCTAATATACAGTCCCACTTTTTCTATAGTTTCAGTTTAAATTAAAAATCTTTATTATCAATTTCCTATTCTACCTTATACTGATACCAAGTGTTAGCCATAATTAGCATCAGTATTAATTACTATGCATATCCATGCTTTAACTTAAAATGCTAAATTGCTTAGCATTTGAATCAAGTTTAGTGACAACAGAAGTAAATACATTTTAAATGGGCAAGTGAGGTGTTAAATAGTATTAAAAGTTTATGGGACATTTATTCTTCACCTTAAATTTAATAGATAGGATCATAAATTCTCCCTCTTCATCCCTCTCTAAGCTGCCTACTTTTAAGTAGAAAAATTCCTGGAAAAGCTAAAATTTTTATGCTATCATTTAATTTTGATTTGTTCTTAAAAGATAAAATCTTATCTTTATTTTCTTTAAGAGTATCCAAAATATTTCTTAGCTTTTTTAATGATTGGATTGTATCTGGGACCATATTTGAGTGTATCATTCCAGGTGTCTTGAGAAGTTCCCAAAGTGAGCTGGTTGACATATGCCATTGATTTGAACAATTCCTAAGTTTTTCCCAATAAAGTAGATGTGTGATGGTCTCTGGGAAAAAGAAGAGAATTGGTTAAACGTGTTGGATTCTTAAAGCACTTTATAGTGCTAATTTGTAGAGCTAATCCAAGGGAAACTGCAAAAAGTAGCATTTCCCCAACATTTTTTAACCATGGGGCACCTTTTTCATTTAACAGTTCATCTGCCATGTGTTTGATCCTGGAGATACAGCAGTAAACAAGATAAGAAACACTTTGCTTTCTAAGAATTTGTAGAACTTAGAAGGCATCTGCCCTGCTGGAAGCTCAGAACAAATGAGCACCCACATCTCCTCTGCCAAAGTATGTAAAAGCTATGCAGAAACCTAACAAAGCATTCAAATGTGTGCGTCCCATGATCTTTCTTTTTTGATATATTTGCTAAATAACCTGGAATGCTAGCCTTTCAGTTAGAATATTTGGATTCCTTGGCACTTCCTTCTCTGATGGCAAAGACAGAGCTTATTCCTGGCTCTCTGCACAGGTATGGGATATCTTTGTCCTTCCTCTCAATTTGCTATCAACCTAAAAGTGCTCAAGAAAAGAAAGAAAAAGAAAGAAAGAAAGAAAGAAAGAAAGAAAGAAAGAAAGAAAGAAAGAAAGAAAGAAAGAAAGAAAGGAGAAAGAAAGAAAGGTCTTAACAATGGAATTTAACTTAAAAAAGGAATACACAAGAATCTATTAAAATGGGTCAGGGTAATAAGGAAAACAGAGATCTGAGTGAAAGCTAGACCTCAAAATGTGTATTGTAGTAGATTTTTTAAACTGTGTGTCACAAAATGTATTACCACAACAAAATAACTAAAAATAGAAATATGTAGTCTGATCATCTTTTTATAAACACATAAAATATAGTATCTCTTGATTTTTGTTTGTTCATTTACTTATTTGTGATTTTGTTCTCTAATTATTTGTATTTTGTGTTTTCTACAATACATTATCTATCTATGTATCTATGTATCTATGTATCTATGTATCTATCTATCAATCTATCATCTAACAATGTATCTAGATTTTTATCTATTCCTTGAAATAACTCTCTTGTTCCTTCACTTAAAAATATTGTAATATTCTTATTTTCTATCATTAAATATATATCTAAATTTTTAATGATTACAAATTCACAGGTACCAAGCAATGAGAAAGGACTGAGGTGCCAGGCATCAGTCCTTCATTTTAGATCCGAAAGGGGGCTGTGATCATGCCAGGGGAGAGACTGGGAGAATATTCAGGCACTGTGTAAAAGGTGGGGACCCAAGACAATACTATGGAATTACAGCTAAATGCTACAGAAATATTTCAGCATTTGAATAAGTAGTTTGTACACTTGATTAGGCAAGCAAATGCCAACTCTTCTGGCATCATTTTCAGTTAGTGTATTTTCTTTCATGGTGTGATAGATAGAATTAAGGCCTGCAACATGTCTCCCCTTAATTCAAGAAACCTGTGACTATGAGGACATATCACTGCCATGATTATATTATTTTACATGGCACAGCTGACCTTAAAATAAAACTGTAAGGGACTCACTGTCTGCCAAGAGTTGAAGATTGTTTTTTGTGGAAAAACTCACACATGTTAGAAGTGTTGTGAGTAGAGGAAATAGTTTTCCTTTGCACAGATCAAGCAAAGTGTTTTGAATAGTACCAAAGCATTATTATTGCTTATAATTCTTTTATGTATGTTGAAACGTTACCTTGGAATTTTAATACATATTTTCCCAAACTTATTCCACATAGATTTCCTTAAGTTCATAATTATTTTCTCATTAGAACAATAAATTTTGATTCTATGATAACAATATTTCTTGTGGAATAGTGGATAAAAGGAAATTTTTTACAGTCTATTTTAAGGATAATTTTTAAAACAGAATAGCTAACATTTATTACATCTTTGATTTTCTTTATTGTGTTGCATAGTTTTTAGCTTTTAAAAATTATTATTTTTTTACTGTCTAAAGTTTTATATATGTCTTTTTCCCCAACTGACCCCCTCACCCCCGCCAGCCATTCCCATCTCAGACAATCCCCCAGAGTCTGTGTCCATTGGTTATGCTAATATGCATACATACAAGTCCTTTGGTTGCTCTCTAACATCCTTTCCCTATGATTTGTCTCTGGATCTATTCTTGTTCATCAAAGATGTTGATCATTATATCCCACATATGAGTGAGATCATGTGATATGTATCTTTCTCTGACTTAGCATAATGTTCTCCAGTTCCATCCATGCTTTTGCAAATGGTAAGAACTCCTTCTTTTTTACCTCAGCATAGTATTCCATTGTGTAGATGTATCACAGTTTTTTAATCCACTCATCTGCTGATGGGCACTTAGGCTGTTTCCAAATCTTAGCTATTGTAAATTGCGCTGCTATGAACATAGGGGTGCATATATCCTTTACTGATGGGTGTTCTGATTTCTTGGGATATAGAGGTGGGATTACTGGGTCAAATGGAAATTCCATTTTTAACTTTTTGAGGAAACGCCATGGATAATTGTTAATATTCAAGCATTTTGGATATAATTTATTTTCATGGAATTAGATATTTGAGACAAAATTTATACATTGCAATACAAAATCCAATGAAAACATAGGTATAGTTTTATTATAACTCTGTGTTTTTTGTAACATACTACTAGACAGAGAATTGAAGAATCAGGTGACATAAATTTCTTCTTGCTTTGTTGTTGAGTCAAAGCTGATTTAAGTCTCATTTTTTAAATTATTATTATCTGGTAACCTAAAAAAAAACATTATAAAATTAAATGTTATATTGGGCAAGAAAGTCAATGCACTTGCTTTGAAATACATTGTTTTCTATAATTTTCAGACATAGCTTAAAAAGTGAAAAATACTTAACCTTGTGTGATTAAAAAAATTTGATTTTTTAAAAAAGCACTGCTTCAGAATTAGCTTCTCAAGTGCTAGTTGAAATTATTCTTCATGTGTTTGAAGAATTAGATTACATGTAGTATCTTTACAATGTGCACACTTAATAAAAACTATTTACTTGATTTCTCATACCTACTGAGTTGCTCTTCCAAGTGCTCTGAGGTGTGCTACAAATTTACTATTGTGGATCTTCTAGAGTATTCTAAAGAAAAAAAAAAGAATACATTTAATGGTTTACCACAAATACAACTCAGTTATTTTGAGCTTGACCCTGGGAATCCCTTTTAGGGACAGCTACCCTAAGCACTTGTATGATAAAGGTATGTTTCCCTTGTACCACCTTTTCACTGTTCCTCCCCGTGTTAGTGTCTTCTGTTCCTTCATGCAATCTAAATTCCAGGGTTGTTCACTCCCTTGCATGTAGCCCGACTTCCTTACACTTCTCCCACTTTGTCATACTAACTTCACAAAACTATAACACCAGTTAAATACAATGCTGCCCATTCTTCTCATGCACTGTATAGCTCAAGTGGCCTCACTTTAAATTCATGACCAGAGACAGCAGTTGGATCCTTAATGCTTTTAGGTGATCCTATTAAACATTCCTAGTCCATTCATTCTTCTACATTCCTGGATGTCTATTTAACTCTTTTTTTCTGTTTTCTAAAAACTCCAACCCTCAACAGGCACCATCATTTTCAGCTGCTGATTCATTTTCTAGTTTCAAGAGGAAATAAAAAAAAAACAGTAGGAAAAAACAGCTTCCTCAAGTTCCATGTCAAGAGTAACTCACCCATGTTCTCTCCTCCCTTCGAAGGCCACCCCTCTATTTCTTCACTAGATCTCCTCCTCCCATGCCCACCACACAAGACATAATTCCAGTAACTCCTTCCTCCAGCATCAGTTTTCCCTCTTTACTATATCTTCTCTGGCATATAAAGATTTAGTTGAAGTCACAAGATTCAGTTCTCACCAATGAATGTGGACCAAGTGATACATTATGCTTCTGGGTCTGAGTTTTAGATATTGGGCATTCATTTTCCCTTAAACTTTCTCCTTTCCTCAATCTTACTCATGGAACTATTACCTTATGATTCATTTTCTGCTATGCAGGCAATGACAAGTCCCTAACTTAGTAGTTCACCACTGCAGCTGATTTTGCCCACTGGGGAATTAAAAAATGTCTGGAGACATTTTTGGTTTTCACAACAGTTAGGTGGAGTTATTACTGGCATCTGGTGGGAAGAGGCTAGGGATGCTGCTAAACATTCAACAATGCCCACCACAGCCATTTCATCTCTCAACCCCCCAATAAAAAAATTCATCCAGATCAAAATGTCAACAGGGCAAGATTGAGAAACCCTGTTCTAGAGGGTGTTAAGGCAAGCAGACAGAAGGTCATGGCCCCCTGAATGTTGGTGGGGCTACCACATTAATATAAATGGCCCACTTATGATTAGAATATATATATTCTACAACTGCTGTACTTTTGGGGCTTTTGGAACAGGAGCTTAGCTGTTACCCTAACTAGTATGCCCTTACCGTTGTTTTAGGTCAAATCCACCTGGGGGGTTCTCAGTTTACTATTTTTCACTGTATCACAATATATAGAAGCATAGTAACGTCCTGGTGTCTCCTTTAGATCTAATGTCTGAAACTCAGCATTCTGGTATTTCCCACGCTGGAGAAATCCTTCTTGGGTTTCCTAAGTTTGAAATTGTGCCTGGGTAGCCTCAAGTAATTGCTTCTCATTCATCCCCCAGATGTTGAGGAGTGGTAATTTTTATTGTGGAATATTTCCCAAGTAAATTTCCTGAGAAAAATAGCTATATCTACAGCTATTTTTTTCAATGTAGGGCACATTTGCTAGTTTAAATAGAAGGCATTAATGTTCTCTCTGTGCAAGGAAACATTGGCAATGATTAATTACACGGGGGAGCACTTCAACTCATCATTCAAGTGCTCTGATGCTTTTATCTGCAACAAGGAGAGCACCACGGGGGAGCTCACTCTAGGTTCCATCCTCGTAGACACTCTCATTTAGACTCCTCACCTAGGTTTTCTGCTGTGGATCTGACAATATGATTTGATATGTTTGATCTGTAGGTCTTCAAGGAAGCTGGAAGATTAGAACCAATTCACCCAGTAAGGGAGACCAAACCAAGACAAAGTGGAGAATGTGATAACTGCTTATATTGTCTACCATTTCAGTAGAAACAAGCATGTTTTCCATATGAGAAATCTTAATCTCAAGCAGGCAACAAAAGGATCTCATTTATACCACCACTTAGCCTATATTGTATCAAAGAGCAATGGAGTAAGCCACAAATGCTGAATTGCAATAAAACTATCAACCACCTTTTATTTGAAAACAATGGCATATAATTTTCAAATATGTAATACAATATTATAAACTTTATTAATAAAATAACATTATCTATTAACAAAATATATTTTTAAAATGTTATCTGTAGAAAAGTACAGATCAAAATGGAAGAGATATTACCTGGTAGTTTTGAAACTGAAAAGGTGAATTTTTATAATTTTGCCATGCAAAACATTTTTAGGGGCTGTATTCTAGAGAAAAGTAAATAATAACTCATACATAAAGGTTGTGTCAGGGTTTATAGACTTAGACCCCTGGTAATGGATTCAACCTTTCCACAACAAATCAAAAGTATTGTATGCTCACATGAATATACAGTAGTCATTACCTTAAATTTAAAACTCACTATAAACAGCAAACACATAGAGCAGGATATGAAGGCTGTATTGTATCAGTGTGGTCTGCAGAGAATTTCTTCATATGGTTTTTGCCTTGTTGAAATATATGCTGCAGTTCAAAGCTAAAGGGATTACTTCTGAATAGTCATCACAGGGGTTGATTACGTTCGTATATCATATTTAGCTGGACCCTGCAGGCTATTATTCCATTAGCTATGCTGGTTCTGCTATTGTCAAAAAGTTGATCACCTAATGTTAAAAAACTGTGCTTTCTGTTGACCTTATCAAAAATGATTCAAAAGGTTTTGTTAAAAAATAAAATAGATTGTGTTTTATGAAAACAATTAAGAATAAATGCTATGTATACAAATGCTCATATCTTACGGGTGCTTTTAGCATTATGCCACGAAGAGATGATATTTCAGCACATTCTACTTAAAGTCATAGATTCAATTTTAGTAGAAACAATACTTTCTTTTTTTCATTGATAGCAGAGAGTCTCAGAAACTGATTTCTTGGGGAGGGGTGGGGGGGAGAAAGCCTCTCCCTTCTTCCTATGTATTCAAATCATATACAATTAAAACCATGGAAGTAAGCCCACTATATTAATATTAATACAATAGTACAACTACAATGGCCTAATTACAATATGGTTTTATAAGGCAACTATACTAAGGAGAAAAGTGTTTTTGTTTGAGGAAATATGTATATAAATTGAAAATTTGCCCTGGCCAGTGTTTCTCACACATTAGCCCTCACACCAAAGGGTTTGACTCCCAGTTAAGGTCACATGCCTGGGCCACAGATTTGATCACCAGCTGGAATATTGGGAGGCAACCAATTGATGTGATAGTCTCTCTCTCTCTCTCTCTCTCTCTCTCTCTCTCTCTCTCTCTCTCTCTCTCTCTCTCTCTCTCTCCTCCCTCTCTCTATTCCATTCTCTCTTTAAAAAAATCAATGGAAAAATATCCTCTGGTGAGGATTAAAAAAAAGAAAGAAAATTTGTCATTCACACTTGATAATGATAAAATAACTTCAAATAAATAAATAAGCATTTATTTATTAATTATTCTTCAGACAATGGTTATGTAGTTTTAGTCATTTAATCATAACAGTTAAAAACTTTTAAAGAAATGAGTTAAATATATATTCTTATCCCATTATCAATTTAAGACATAATTTGATACATTTGACTTTTAACCCAATTAGCTATAGATGAAGTAACAAAATGATGGTATAACTTTGAAAAAGGTATCGACAGTTATGGCTTTATTATTTTAAAGAACCTACATAAAACTTTTACTAGAGTCAGGTTAAGAAAGCTGTCCTTTGGAAATAAAGATGATTTGAAGCGATCTCAGTTGAACAGGCAGTTTTGAACATGTTCCCAGAGCTGTGACGGATTGGCATAGACTCTTGTGTCCTTTTCCGCATGCTCCTCCTTGTAACGGATGGTGTGGAAATGTCTGGTCAGGGACAGAGCCTGCTGTTCTGGAGCACAGCCAGGCGCTAATTTTGGCCCCATTAGCTCTGTTCTCTAATTGACTGAACTTTTCAGCAAGTGGAAGTCTCCTAATATTTCTTGTACTTGGTTGCCTTTAGCCACTCCACTTGATACAGCAGAGAAGGGGTGGGTATCGGTCAGGAGGAAACAGATGGCACATTCAAGTGGGAGTCTGAAGAGACTAATGAAGGGACTACTGAGAGGTGAGGGCAGGGCTGAGAAACGGATAAGGGATGTGGAAACACCAAGCAACTTGCAATAAAGGGATGCTAGGCCATCATCTTCCCTGGGGCTGAGGATAAAGGGGAAGAGGATGGTGTTATTGTACCCCAAGTGAGAAACGGGTTTAGAAAAGGGGTCAACTGGTAGAATCCAGAAGCAGCAATTGTAGAGTGTTACTAGTGCAGAACTGAGCTGAAGCCAGGGGCAGAGAATTAATTCCCAGACTACCTTCCTCACCTCTGGTATCCAGAAAGCCAGAGGCAAGGGAACCTGTGAGATGCAGTCTGAAGTCAGTGTCCTGTGATACAGAGCAAAGTGGGACAATGGATGTTGGTGTGTGTGTGTGTGTGTGTGTGTGTGTGTGTGTGTGTGTGTGTGTTTGTGTGAAATAGCATATAACAATCACAAAATAAAATTCAGTCATAGGAAGAACAGTTTATGTGTCTATGTACTTGATGCTAGCATATAATTTGGTGCTTCTCCTTTCCTCCTCTTTCCCCCAATCCACATTTGGGGGGCGGTAATATTGGTTTCTCATTCATCTGGTTATGGACTTCACATCTAAGAGTTCTGTAAAAATTCTATAAACCGAAACCTCAGATTATAGACACAATCTTACTCTCCCAAGAAAATGTATGAGTTTTTTCCTAGTAATACTCTCCTACTTTTTGTAAACTAACAGAAAGGTAACCCGTTCTGTGCTTTGAAGTTGAGGTTATGATGTGGTTATTCTATAGCTGTTGGATATAACA